ACACACACACACACACACACACACACACACACACACTCACACACACACAAATTTAATGTAAATATGTTGGGTTCCATATTGGATGTAAAATATCTGTTCTACTCTCCTAAATTAAAGAATCTCAGTAGAGTTGGTAACTAGATTCTACAGAGAACTCATTTTGGAATACTATAAATTATACACTAAAATAGAAGTTGGCATTTCTTAAAAATTTTTATTCCCTTCTCCCTCACAAACTCCAAAATTCCAACATGACTTTTTTTTATTATTATTAACATTCTTTACTCAAGAAATATTAATATAAATAGTAAATGTGTTAACATAAGTTATAAGTATAAACACCCTGACATTGGAGGTCTTGTCTTTACTATCTTTGTTGGTGCAAGCTAGAGAGACAAAGGAAAGACCCAGGGGATAGAGGAAGGGAAAGGGACCCTCCCCCAGGAAGAGCTGAAGCCCCTCAGCAGCAGAGAATCAAGATTCCAGCTCAATCAACATTTGCTTAAAGGCATCCTTCTGTAATTTTCCAGCAATCTCACCAAAAACCACTTCCAGTAAAAGGGCATGCCCTAACTTCCTTGCTCAGTGCCTTTGGCTTCACCTGTAGACTGTAATCCTGTCCCAAGGACTCTCTGGAGTCACTCTACTATCTCACTTACAGGGAGGTAGAGGAGAGGGAAAGGGGGGAAGGGGAGAGGGGGAGAAACAGTTCCTTAGCAGCCTTTGTCACCAAGACAGTGCATCCGGCTAATGACAAGAACTTAAGGGCAGCTCTTCCTTGGGGGGTCCCATAGCCACACTTGGATGTTTCTCATCCGTTCCCTGAGCTTCTCTCTCCCTCTTGACCTCTGTGCTTCAAAATCCATAAAAAATGTCTTTTAATAAACTAATTCTTCTTTGAGAAGCTCACACCCATGCTCTTGGGTGCACTTCTTGCCCTGAGCACTTTTCTCGTTTGAATCAACTCCATTTCACATAGACTAGGACTAAAATTCTTTTCTGGCCAAAGCCACAAATCTTGTGTTGACTTGAGTCGGGATCCCTAAAAGCCTGAGGGAAGTCTGCAGGCTGCTTTAAGCAATGTGGAGCTGTGTCTCCATCTCTGCCACCACTGACACTTTCCCTACATAACCATGCACTTTTGCTCAAACTGTGGAAGATCCTGTGTATGCTTGTTAGGGAAGTCAAACATTCAGCTACCCTTAGGCGAAACCTTATCTTCTTTAAAAGTCAAAACCATGCCAGGGCAGTGGAGGTGCATGCCTCTAATTCCAGCACTCAGGAGGCAGAGCCAGGCAGATCTCTGTGAGTTTGATGTCAGCCTGGTCTACAGAACAAGATCCAGGACAGGCACCAAAACTACAGAGAGAAACCCTGTCTTGAAAAAGAAAAAAAAAAAAAAAAAAAAGTCAAAGACAGACACTCAGTTGTCACAGCCTTACCCTGTTTAAGGTGCTGAGACAAACGTTCCCATGGATGCCTGTCTCAACAAGAGAAATCATGTGGGCCCTGGGACAGCCTGCCACCATCAGAGGGTTAGTTTGATCAACTTGGGACAGAAATCAGAGTCCTAGTTTTATTTACCTACACATGCCTACCCCATATAGACAGAAGCTTGACGATCCAGCTGATGTGAGTCTGACGGCTGGTTCACTTAGGGTAGTAATACTATTGGTCTTGCTGATAATGTCATTCATGACCTCACAAAGGAAACCACACATCATCAAGAACAAATGTGGGATGGTACATATAAGTCAATGAGAATGTCTCAGCATTAGGTGTTTGTTCAGTCAACCAATGAAGTTGAGGGCTGATTCTTCCAAAAGGGTGAGTTTCCTACCCACCTAATTGTAATCTTTCAATTTAATTTTCCTGTGCTAAACTTCGCAAGCTTATTTTCAATAACCCACTAGTACTAACGAAAACGGTATTCACATAACACTAGGGCTAACAATAACTTTTACTGTAGTCATCTTATAATTTTATGAAATATTTTGAAGATTATTTCTACTGAGACCCTATCTCAAAAAAACAAAAAGATTATTTCTACTATTATTGAATCCTTCTGTAAGGTCACCCAGCTACCTATAATGAGTAAAACACACTCACAGGCAGCCCGAGGTCTAAAACATAGACTGTTTCTCCCTGTTATCCTAAAATCCTCAGTAATAGATTTGTTTTTGTTAAGAATGTTGAAATGGGGCTGGGTGTGGTAGCTCTCGCCTTTAATCCCAGCAGTTGGGAAGCAGAGACAGGAGGATCTCTATTAGTTCCAGGCCAGCCAGGTCTCTATAGTGAGACCCTGTCTGAAAAAGCTGTCATTGATAGCGTGTTTGCTCTGCTTCTTTTCACCTTAAAACATCTGGTTTCAGCTGGAGAGGCAGCTCAGTGGGCAAAGAGCCTGCCTCAGACCATAAAGACCTGAGTTCAAATCTCAGAGCCCACATAAATGGCGGGATTTGGCAGCATGTATAATCCCAGCTTTTCTGCAGAGATGGTAACTGAGGAGAGAGAAGCTCACTGGCCAATTAGCCAAGTGTATGCAGGAGAAAAGCAAAAGGTCCCATCTCAAAGTGGAAAATAAAGACTGAAACCTGAGGTTATCCTCTAACCTACCCCCCAACACACACACACACACACACACACACACACACACACACACACACACTCTGGCACACACATACTATGTCATTAAAAGGTATAGATAGAGCCTCTGGCAAAGTATCTACCAGTAATCTAGAGCCAAATAAAGTGAGGGTCTTGTTTAAAGAAATATATTTAAAAGCAATAAATATAAGCCTTACACCATGGACATGTATTCATTACAGCACCTTATAAGGAAAAAGTGGTTACAAAGAAAAAATTATTTTCAAGTATCAGATTTTAAAATAATAAAATGGCTCAGCAATCAAGAGCACAGTTTGCTCTTCCAGGGTTTGACTCCTGGTGCCCACATGGTAGCTCACAACCTTCTTGAACTCCAGTTCCAGGGGAGGGAATCCAAATGTCGTCCTCGGGCACCAGGCACTCAAGTGGTACACAGACATACATGCAGGAAAAACATCCATACACATAAAATAATATACTTCAGTAATAAAAGCTGCAACCAGGAAGCCAGCAAATAATGTGAAGCAGAATAGAAAATCAGGAGAAATGAAGGGAGTGTGGGAAAAGAAAGCAGCCTCCCACCCCAGAACCTGCCCTTTAAGAAACTTCAACAGAACCTAAAAATCAAAATTATCAGAGATAGTGTGTGTCCTCTAAGACTAAGCTATTAACAACAGTGAACTGTGCTCACACAGGGCAGGATGCTTGTGGCCTTGCAGTCAACAGTACTCTTTTTTTTTGGTGGGGGGGGGTTAGTTTTTCAAGACAGGGTTTCTCTGTGTAGCTTTGGAGCCTGTCCTGGATCTTGCTCTGTAGACCAGGCTGGCCTCGAACTCACAAAGGTCCACCTGCCTCTGCCTCCCGAGTGCTGGGATCAAAGGCGTGCGCCACCACCACCTGGCTTCTGCTCCTCTTTCATCATAAATCTATATAAGGCGTCTCATAAACCCACCTCAACATTCCATATACAAATGACAATTCTTCAACTGTTGAGATGACTGAACAGTTAAGAGTATTTGCTGTTCTTGCAGAGGACCTGGTTTCCCCAGCACCTACCTGGAGGATCACTGTTGTCTAACTCCAGTTTCAGGGGATCTGACACCCTCATCTGGCCTCTGTAGGTACCAGGCGTGTGCATGATGCCCATATATACATGCAGGCAAACCATTCATACACTTCAAATGAAAATAATTTATTTTTAATTTTGAAGAAAATTCTTTAAAGGTAAACCAGCTCACATTTTATATTTTTAATTTTAATTTTACTTGTTCCAAATTTTAAATTTTACTTAGTTTCTAAACGTTGCTTAGTAGTCTGTAAACTTTGTTTGATAGTATATCCTTTGACTAAGGTAATTCTGTTTCACTTCTGAAATCCTTTCCCACTCAAAGGTCCAGTCTCAAAGGCCTACTCTAGGATTCTGCTTTACCTGAGCAGAAGAGCCCAGAAGAACTCTGCCAGCAACTCACATCAGCACAGACAGAGCTCATCTCCCCCTGCCACTGATGACAGAAGCAAAAATACGGATGAATCTTCACCTTCTGGCATTAAAGGTACACGAAAACCATAAAGATGATACAAACGCAAAAGTAACTGGCTTATCACACAGCTCGATGTCCATGCTTCCTGGACCGTTCATCACCTCACAAGCACATGACTCCGGACTGGCTCCCGTGCTGGCACATCCCAACTCTAATTCTTCCAAGAAGCCAGCTCAGCTGGCCAAGCCTGGTCAAAATGGTCCTCATTCACACACACATCCGCCTCAAGATTGAGGTCTCCCTTTACAGTGAACTCTGTGCGGAAGGTTCCGAGACACAGGATAGATAACTAGCTGACAAGGACATAGTGCCTGTGAGAGCTGAAGGAGCCTGGGTTGAGGCAGCCCTGGGAAAGGTGACTGCAGAGAAATCCCTAATTTCTCAAGAGGGCCTGACAAACGATGACTCCCGGAGGAAGTGGCAGAGAACAAGCATGGTTAAGGTGCGTGACCCTGGAAGTCGGGAGTTGGCCCCCGGGGTACAAATATTCTGATCCAGAAAGACAAAGAGGCTGAAGGGGCAAGGCGATCCATTTGGAACTGAGGAAATTTGAAGTCTTAACACATCGTTTATTTGAAGAAAACAAGAGAGCTAGCCACACACATCCAAAACTTAGAAAGAGGGTCATCAAAGTAATCAGCTACAGGTACTGGCTCGGGAAACATCAGCCTAGAAGTGGCGATCACAGTTGCTGCTGGAGGGCTGGCACAGTTGAGACTTAAACTACAGTTGCCACGTCTCAAAGCCTGTGCGCACTGCCTAAGCTTGCTTTCTTACCCGCTTCGACCAAACGCTTATCCATCCCTTGAAGACTCTCACTACAGTAGCAACTCTGACAAACATGAAAAGCACATCTCAAAAACATCACTGAGTGAGTGGTCCCTGGCTGTCGCCTCCTACTCAAAGGCAAGGCCACCGTCCCAGCTAAACCATACATTTGAACAACTTAATCACACATCTATGTTTAAAAGCAAGCAATAACCACCAACTAGAAAATACAAAAGGACCAGCAAGAACACTCAGTAGTAAAAGAGCTTGCTACACAAGCCTGACCTTAGGAGTTCAATCCCCCAGATCCCAAGATGGAGGGAACTGACTCCCACACACTGTCCTCTGAGCTCCACACATCTGCCGTGGTCTGTGCTCGGCTGTATGCATGCATGAGCACAAGCACACTGACACATTGTAGACAGACACACACACAGACACACACACACACACAGACACACACACACACTAAATAAAACAAAAATTTTAAGAAAGAAAACTATAGAAGAACAATCAGAAGTATATTTATGCTAGAAAGAGTGTGTACTTCATGGCCCCTGAATTCTCTACCCACAGTACTCACGTTACTCTCCCCTCCAGATCTTCATCTAATCTTCTCTCTCAGCACTCATCAAGACGTAAAGGTAGCATAAGAAAGATGTCATGCAAATATACTTATCTCTCACTGTGAGAGAAACCCTGGACCTCTAGACAAATTCTCCTCTTTCTGGCTTCTCATAAAGCAATCCCAGTGACCAGCAAGGAACTTTTAATCTCCCTGTTCTCCACTAAATGCAGAAAAATGGGAACTTCTGAAGGTTCCTGCCAGCACAGGAATAAGCATCCCTCACAAGTGTGATCAGTGCAAGGGAAAAGTACAGTTCAGAGGGCACTTCAGCTGGGTGTGGTAGTGCATGCCTGTCCTCCCAGGACCAGGAAGGAGGCCAGCTTGAGGTGAAGAGCAAGACCTGTCTTGAAAGGCAAAGGGCTGAGGATGGAGCTCTTGTCTAGCAAGGAGAGTAGTAGTTCAACCACCGGCCTTGCGGCTTTTTTTTTTTTTTTGGGGGGGGGGGGAGCCCCCGCCGGTCTCTCCAGCAAGACAGCAAAGTGTCCCAGGCTCTTCTGATTACCTACACTAAAAACCCAGATAAATGCACCAGGCATTTTGGAGATAAAGAAAGATCCCCAGGATATAACTCAGGGGTAGCACATGCTAACTTATTTGCCATTTACAAACTAGGCACAGGAGGAGGCCCCAAGGGAACTCAAAGCCCCCTGCACTTCACTCCCAGTTTGCAGCTGAGCCCGGAAAGCCACCCCCTCATTCAGCTGAGTCATGTCACACTGTTACACCCATGAGAGGCACAATTCAGGGGCCCAACCCACATGTCCAACCACATATTAATCCAGTGACTTTTAGAAGGCATGTGAATCTTACAAAATTAAGGTGCTGTACTTGCTCAGAGGAAATCCTACCCACTATGTCTAGACTCGTGGAGACTGACAGCAACCCACAGCAAAATGGAAGAGGAAAAAGCGAGCTCAGAAGTATTTTCCCTCCCAGTGTCCCAGGCTAAAAAAAAAAAAAAAGCGGGGGTTTCTGGGGACTTTGAACTAGAAGAGGTTTTATTTAAGGTTTCGTGTTTTCTGAGACAGTCTCCTGTAGTACAGGCTAGCCTTAAACTTCTGATCTCCTGCCTCCGTCTCCCAAGTGATGCGATTATGAGGAAGCATCAGCAGAGCCAGGTTTGGGCAAGTTATAATGAAGCGAACTCTTTATTATCCCAACTCCCCACAAAGAAATACCTTCTGGTTCAGACACGGAACACACCGATGGAGTGTTTACACAATCAAGTAGCAACCAAAACACAAAGACTGGTTGGAAAATGGATGCAAGAGTTCTTCCTACGACATGACTCTAACAGGAAACAAAGTGCATCAAGTTCTGAAAAAACAGTATGTGCCTATCCTTGTGTGTGTGTGTGTGTGTGTGTGTGTGTGTGTGTGTGTGTGTGTAACAATGAAAAGCTGCAATTGTAAAGAACACACACACACACTGAGCATGATAACAGAGAACAAATATACAAAGTCTTTTCAGAAGTCAATATGCAAAGCATTCTACTAGTAACACAAGATAAATGAAAGATCCAAGAAGTGAGAACATAATGTATCCTCATGTTCCGGGTGATCAGATTCTAGGCTATGGCAGAGTAGGAGGGTAAGCACCATTTTCCCACGCGACTTGTGTTCCATCCTTACACACCTCCCGGACAGCAGGGCTACTTCAGCGAAAAGCAGGACTTTCTACATTCAATCTACTTCGAAAATCAATGCCAAGGAGGCTCACACCCACCCACCCACAAAAAAAAGGGGGGGGGCAGGAAAAGTATTGACAGATTAATAAAGAAAAAGGAGGAACAAAAACAAGGGATTTCTATGTTTGATTTACCTTAGCTGCCATTAAATGAGAACAGATCACCTTAAACATGTTAAAATGATTGCTGTACATGGAAAGTTGGTCCTCTAACGTCACTGTAAAGCTAGCCTAACTTCGATTGCTTGGGCTTCTGGTCAGCATTGCTGGAAGTGAGCTGGCCATGCTAGACCTTGCTTGATCTCAGCCTCTACAAAGATTGCTGAAATAACTACAGGTCTTATCTAATGCTAGCCTACTTATGTGCAGAATCCTGCACAGAGATTTCAATGTATGCATTTCTGTAGTCTGGTCCTTCTTTGTTACTTTTGCTCATGCACATATATTTAGGATAAATGTGTTGCTTTTTAAAAGTTTATGACATTTGGAAATAAATTTCAAAAGGTTTTTAAAGTTTTTGAAATTAAAAAAAAAAAAGTTTCAACCAGAGAGTACTTTGAAATAACTTTCTACAAATCTCTCCAAGCAAAACTGGGTCAGTTATATCATTTTAGGAGCTGAACCACAGCCACCACAAATGAGTGTGAATGAGGCTAGGCCAAGACCCCGCTCCAGTCTCAAAGAAAAGCAGGTGCCCTAAAACCTGACCGGGGGGGGGGGGGGGGAGACTGGCAAAGTGAAGAGCCCAAAGCTCGTCAGACTTCAAGTGGTGTAAGTAACAGTCCTAAAAATAAAAGGAGAGAGATGGCTGGGCAGTGGTGGCGCGGGCCTTTAATTCCAGCACTCAGGAGACAGAGACAGGCAGATCTCTAACCTCAAGGCCAGCCTGGTATGCAGAGCGAGGTCCAGGATAGCTAGAACCACACAGACAGGACTATCCTGTCTCAAAAAGAGAAAGAAGGAAAACAGCTAAATGAGCCGACTGAAAGTCTATTTATTAAAAAATAAAACAAAAACCTAAAACTTGAATATGCCATTTTTCTTTTTATAGGTTAACACACAGTGTGATAACAATTAACCAAGCATTTATTTCAAACTTCTCTAAAATGAAAATACATCCAAAAAGGAGAGGCCGTAGGAGAACAGGCAGATAAATGCTCAATGGTCATTTATTATTTAACATCTGACTTCGTATGAAATATCTGCTGTTTTCGAAGTAATTGCCACATTGTGTCCTTGCATTGTCTGCCCTACCTAAAAGCACACAGAAACTAGGACAGAAATTTGACCCATTTTCCTTATTTTCAAGAAGTCCACTGCAGAAGCACGAGAAATCTCTTCGGGGATGGAGAGTGACCTATGGCAGCCGTGATTTCTGCTTCAAATGAACGAGAATCTGCTAGGTCTGTTGCAAGTAAACATGAGAAAACAAACAGCAAGCAGCAGCTAGCTAGAGGCAGCATGGAGTCAGCCAAACACCACCAAGTCAGGCCACTACAACATCCGCAGCAGTGACTGGGGGAAGCCACCTGAAGGGCACACTGGGAGACCTCTGGGCAGAGAGGAAAGTTCTCTCTGGAGACAGAGCTTCTGGCTTCCCGTTCCCACGTTGGGCACTTCTATTCCATGGGACAAACAGTGGTAGCCTCTGTTGGAAACGGTTCACCTTCTCTGCGTTCTCAAGAGCACATTGTTTTAATGCCCTTAGCTCCAGGCTGTTCTCCTTTGTCCCTGTCACTGAGGGAGGCGGTCAGCCTGACCCAGGGCAAGGAGTTTTGAAGGACGGTTGAAAGAAATGTATCTGGGTCTGAGACAAGGAAATCCTTCTTGTTCCTAGACTCCACTTTCAGAAAGTTTAAACAGCACATGATAATTCTCAACAACAAAACAGGTTTAGTTTAAGTACAAATGACCATAGTTCGGGCTAGAGAGATGGCTCAGCAGTTAAGAGCAGTGACAGCTCTTCCAGGGGACCTGGGTTCAGTTCTCAGCACTAACAGATCATCACAACTGTCTGTAACTACAGTTCCAGGAGACCTGAGTGACACACCATGCCTGTATTCAGTACACACACACACACACACACACACACACACACACACACACGCAGGCAAAACATTCATATTCAATAATAATAATAGTTTTTCAAGTAAATAGAAATAAAAACAAAATTAATACTTCCTGCCTACAGTCCTAAAAGTGTAACTTGGGGCAATCCTGAGAAGACTGATGTAAAATGACCCTCACAGATGTAAAACTCTAGAACACAGGTTTTAGAAATGCCCATCCCAAATGCCAGGCAAGTAAGGAACTCTATGGATAGGAGCCTGATATAAAAGTAAATACACTTTCAGTTTCACATCACCTGGCAAGAAACTCCTCACTTAGCATTAAGAAGGGTGCTTTAAAAAAATAAAGAGTATTCAACCACTGAAAAAGAAATTTCAATTCTGCCTTGAAGATAAAGGCATTAGGAACCACATAAATATGCTCATTGGGCAGACACCTGATCCCCTCTGTCTCTTTTAGCATATTTACATGTCAGGGGAACAGTGGGCATCACTCTGAGAGCACAAGCCACTTTTTAGACTTTATGTGCAGGTACAGGGTCTACTTTAATAATTAAGAAAAAGCCGTTTGTTTTGTTACAGAATAAAGTACTGTGTGCTAACAACAGAGTACAAATGTTTGTCTTCGCTCTGTAATATTATCAAGCCTCTAATCCAAATTCATTAGCACTGTAACAACTGACAGTCACAGCTACTGAACAGCACAGTTTCCCGAGAAAACAGTCGATTTCACTATATTAAGTAAATGTGATTCTAAAAGTCTTAGATGACGTTAAAAAAAATACAAACCAAGTCAAATGAAGATTTTTTTTTTTAAGTGATAACCTTGAGGTTCTTTTGTTTTGATTTTTGCTATGCTTTGCTTTTTATGAGACATGGTCTCTCACTCTGTAGCCCAGGCTGGCCAATATCTTTGTCAACTGATTTTTTTGTAGTTGTTTTATTATTTTTACCACTGAATGGTATGAAACCACATCAGTTCTTTCAAACGTATTCCAATTATGATTGCATGACACATTTTTTTGTTTGTTTTTTGTTTTTTGAAACACAGGGTTTCTCTGTGTAGCTTTGCGCCTTTCCTGGAACTCACTTGGTAGCCCAGGCTGGCCTCGAACTCACAGAGATCCACCTGGCTCGGCCTCCCAAGTGCTGGGATTAAAGGCATGCGCCACCACCGCCCGGCAACATGACACATATATTTAAGTTGCAGTTGCACCTTAGGAAATGTTTGGAGTTAGTTTATAAAATCTTGAGCTCAGTGAAGAACAGTGACGAAAAGGCAAGCATGGAGGTGGTGCCTGTTTAGCCTAGAACTCTGGAAGAGAAGAGCAGGCAGGAATGTCTGTTCCAAGTTATCACAACTAGAGAAAGTTTGAGGCCAGTTTGAGCTATAGGAGACCCTATCTTTAATAATAATGATAATAATACTTTAAAAACACACTGTATAACTAGGTCACTGTAATGGTACAGGTCCAACTTTAAGAGGCAGAGAGAAGGATCGCCACAGGTTTGAGGCCAACCTGATCTACATAGCGAGTTCTAGGCAAGCCAGGGTTACATAGTGAGACCCTGTCTCAGAAGAACCAAACCAGGGCACTTGGTAAAGGCATTGGCAAGAGAATCAGTTCAAGGCAACCCGTGGCTATGTATTTCATTCGGGTCACCCTAGAGTATGTGAGAACCTGTCTCCAAAACTAAAATAAACAAACCAAAAGACCTGGCCTGAGTTTGTATTATAATTAGTTACAGCACCATATTTCCAGTCTACTTTTTACACTGTAAAAAGCTAAACTGTTTAAATACCGGTCTGTCTACTATCCCACTATTACAAATACTTCAGCATAAGCCCTGGATCAAAACTGAATTAAAGAATAATTCTGCAGCCAGGAAGAATGCTGGGGTGGGGATCTAGGCACTCTGCTGCCTTGCAATAGAGACGGTCCCAGAGAACAGCTTCCCACATCATATATCCTGTGTTCCTTTTCACCCCATAGCCTGCTGAAACCTACATTTAAATTCACTCCTCTACACATCCACCAATCTACAAGTATAAATATGAATGTGTAAGCTGCACACACAATGGATGTTTTTGGAAACCCTGAAATTCACTAGTCGCAATAATTTTGTACTGTATTCTTTTGGCTGAAGTTATCAGACTCCCAGAAAATGTCTGCTCCTCAAGGAAACAGCTATCAGTAAACAAGAGGTTGAAATCAAATGCTTGCTCACAATAATCCTATTCAAGAGTATGTGTAACAGTATAACATTATCTAAATGCTCCAGTCCCTTCACCCTTGCCCAAGAAAAGACTGTTTCCTCTCACCTAAGCAAAAATTGTGAGCAATGTTGTTACTTTCATCTCAGCCATCTTGGCTATAGCCAGGTGTGGGCCTCATACCTGTAATCCTAGTACTAAGCATGCTAAACAAGAGGAATCCCATACATTCGAGGCTAACCTGAGCTACACAGCAAGACACTGTCTCAAAAACAAACAAACAAAAACAAAACAACAACAAAAACCATTATGGCTGGAACAGTCTTGGTCATAAGATCTTATTCATCCCACCCCCATGTGGCATCATTCCAAATCCTCTTTTCAGATTTGTTTTCCCCTTTCTCCTTTATGAATGTTATGCCCAGATCGTGGGGACCACCAAAACACCACCACCGAGACCAAA